AGGTCAACCCTAAAGAAATATAAGCAAAGTCCTATAGTCAAAGATATAAATGAATGTGCATCCTAGCAAGTGGGGACATTCCCGGATTTTTTTTTGAAAAAACTGGAATATGACATAAGAGATTCCTCCAAGATACGAGGAATTACATTGATCGGAAAATTAGAGAAGAAGAGTTTTAATTTACAAAAGACTTGAGCGGATTTGGTTGAAAGGAAACGACCAAGTTCAAAGTTCGAAGCGAAACCGAGCAACAGCGGCAGCAAGAGCAGAATAGGGAAGACCCGATTCCAGCGCCAGACAACAACATCTGGCGTCTGGCAATAGATTTTAGCTCCTGGCTCTAGATCCCAGCGTCTGGCGACAGAGAAAAATGGCGGCGCTAGAGATATTTAAGCAACGACAGAGCTCGAAGCCTCTCATAACAGCAATTTCGGGTTCCTTGGTACGCCAGTTAGCCCCTATAAGAAATTTGACATGATTAAGTAGTTGGCTTGATTACAATCGCAATAAGTGATCGACCTGACGAAAGATCCTCTCACTTAGCTTAAAGCGCCTAAACATTGGCTCATCACAAAGGCACCGACATACTGGTTCAGAAGCACCGACATACAGGTTCACAATCTAAGACACTGACATACTGGTTTACAAGCAGCTGCAGCGCCGACGTACCGGCTAAAGCAAAGTTCAAGCGAGCTTTAAGGATCGACAAGCGTTGGTCTTTGGTAGTTTTCTTCGGAATATTATCAAAACAACTGAGGATGATTTCAAGAGAGGTTATTTTAGACGGCATTTGCTAAGATTGTGGAGGTTGTCACCAAGATTTGAGAAGATAGCACGAGACGAGCGGTCTTCGATGGCATTCGCTAAGACTGTGGAGGTTGTCACCAAGATTCGAGAAAATGGCACGAGATGGGCGGTCTTTGATGGTATTTGCTAAGATTGTGGAGGTTGTCGTCAAGATTTGAGAAGGGCGGTTTGTGATGAGGCGGTTTTCGACGACTTTTGCTATGATTGGAAAGGTTGTCACTATGATTCAAGAAAAGGCTCGAGATGTAGCAACATTGATCGACGGCGTTCCCTAGATTGCGGAAGATCGTCAAAACAAGCAGCAAGATGGCGTTCCCTAGATTGTGGAAGGTTATCACGACAAATACAACAGCAATGCAGCAGCAGCAAATCGGTTACCTTCAGAGACGTGTGCTCGACGGTGCAAGATACGTGTTTCTTAACTCTTTTATTTGTTTAACTAACGCTAGTTTATAGGTATCGGCGTTACAAGAATAATTTAGGATCGCAGAACGTTTTGAATCATTCTCCGTCCCTGTCGATACTTTGACTTTCATTTTCGAAACTTGCGTATCTCCAAACTCAGTCAAAGTGGGGGCTTCTGTAGACACCCATTTGTGTCTCCCTAAAACCAAACCCGGTGATGAATACCTTTCACGTCGAATCATAATCGAATGAAGTGAAAGTGTAGAAAGTCTAGTGTTGCGGATAATTTTAATTTCTTTTCTCCCCTCTCTGTATTTCAAAACCTATTTTAAGAAAACAGCCAATCCAGTTTTGTTTGGTCCATAGTATGGGTCCTATAATAGTGCAGTTGGATGGGGTTTGAAAAGAGCTTTCCAATGATATATTATAAGCCCAATTCCGATGAATAATGAGGAAGATATGGCCAAATTACTAAACTGGGCACGGTTTGATTCTTATATGTGGCCCAATGATCTAGAGGAGGGCCTAATACGGATTTATCATTCCAAATGCAATTAGAACTGATTTTAGTCTTCTAGATTCTTCTAGAAGGTTCTTATCATTCCTAATTCAATTAGCATTGACAAATTGACTTTTGTTGACTTTTTAGAGTTTTAATCAGAATAAAAGAGTGTTTTTAAGGAAAATACGATTTTGCCCTTCTGTACGGCTAAATTTTATCTGAATTAAGAAAACGCGTGAAAATAATAATTAGCGCCTAACGACAGACATTACGCCTGGCGCCTGGCGCTAATCTCTTTTTTCCTCGTCAAAACTCTGATTTGTTTTTCTATCCGTTTGGATGATTTTCTCTATAAATAGCCTACTAAAATCTCCATCAATTCTCATCAAATATCACCAACTCTCATCAAGAATTTCTTGATTCTCTCCCTCTTCCTAAACCAACCCTTTTACAAACACAATTCCTCATACATTAGCACTAGACACACCTAGTCAATTTCGAAGTTGTCTTCGCCCTAGACGTGAAAGGTTTTAATTTGTGAGGGTTTGGTCCCAATTCTTTATTTCAATTATTATTTAATTTAATTATTTGGTTTTATTATTTTTCTTGAAGTTACTAACGTGTGTATTTTGTTATTAGAAAGTGATACGAGGCATCCAAGTAAGTGATTTAATTGATTTTATTAATTTTATGATATAGAAATCATGTCTCGATTGTTATTATGATTCCTAGTGTCATGTTAGGGCGTTTTGATCTTCCTAGTATCATGTTTAGGGTAAAAGTTATAATATCAAATATTCTTATTATGATTTCTGTGATGCTTCTTATTTTCTTCCTAATATTCATGTTAGTATCATGTTAGGCTATATATTTGATTTTTATTGTTTAGTGACATGCTAGGCTTTGTTATTAATCTTGTTAGTATCATGCCTAGGATCTTGCTATTATTATGCTTTAACATGATTATTTTAATTATGAATATTATTATTATTATTATAATAATTTTTTGATTATAATTAATTTATGATTATTATTATGTTGCTTGATTATATTTTATTGTTATTGCTTAGTCACACCTTTTATGCATGTTTAAAGGGAATTGGTACTTGTAATCATGCTTAATAAGATAATTAATAATCTTGTTTAGGGTTAATTTGATTATAATTCAAGTGATCGCCAATAATAGTTTTGTTTGTGCATTAATATTCAACCAACATAGATAAACAGGTTTAGGGTTAATCCTATTGATTACATGTTAGTCAGAAAGCGCACATGAATAAGATCAGAATAAAGTAGAGGTCTATTATTAGGGCAGGTTCAATCTCTTTTAGGTTGGATTTGTACCTTTATCCCCAAACTACTAGTCATGGTTCCAGACCTATTGGAGTTGACGATCTCATGGATCGTTAAGGGGTGTAACCTTCACCTCGTGAACGGTTTACAAGTTCCTAAAACTTGTTGGCGACTCTTTTGCTCTATCTTCTTTCCATTTGGACGCCACCGTGCTTTGACATGATTTGACATGATTGAGTATTCGATTTTATTACAATTGCAAATAAGTGATCGACTTGACAAAAGATCGTCTCACTTAGCTTAAAGCGCCTAAACATCGGCATCGCAAAGGCACCAACATACTGGTTCAGAAGCACCGACATACTGGTTCATAAACAGCAGAGGCACTGACATAATGGTTCACAAGTAGAAAAAGCGCCGACGTACTGGCAAGGTGGAAGAAAAGTTCAAGCGAGCTTTAATGATTGACAAGCGTTAGTCTTCGGTAGTTTTCTTCGGAATATTATCGCAACAACTGAGGATGACTTCAAGAGAGGTTATTTTAGACAGCATTCGCTAAGATTGTGGAGGTTGTCACCAAGATTTGAGAAGATAGCACGAGATGGGCGGTCTTCGACAGCATTCGCTAAGATTGTGGAGGTTGTCACCAAGATTTGAGAAGATATCACGAGATGGGCGGTTTTCAACGGCATTCGCTAAGATTGTGGAGGTTATCACCAAGACTCGAGAAGATGGCACGAGATGGGCGGTCTTCGACGACATTCGCTAAGATTGTGGAGGTTGTCACCGAGATTTGAGAAGGGCGGTTCGTGATGAGGCGGTCTTCGGCGACTTTTGCTATGATTGGGAAGGTTGTCACTATGATTCAAGAAAAAGAAGCTCTTTTTTCAGAGACGCGTGAACATATCCATAAAAGCTCTTAGTTTAGAGACGCGTGAACATATCCAAAAAAGCTCTATTGTTTAGAGACGAGTGAACATCAAAACAGCAAAATGCAACAAATCGATTACCTTCAAAGACGTGTGCTCGACAGTGCTAGATACGCGTTTCTTAACTCTTATATCTGTTTAAAATAACGCTAGTTTTGCAGGTATCGGCGTTACAAGAGTGATTTAGGATCGCAGAACATTCTGAATCATTCTCCGTCCCTATCGATACTTTTACTTTTGTTTTCGAAACTTGCGTTTCTCCAAACTCAGTCAAAGTGGGGGCTTCTGTAGACACCCATTTGTGTCTCCCCAAAACCAAATCCAGTGATGATTACCTTTCATGTCATTTGATTATCGAACGAAGCAAAAGTGTGAAAAGTCTAGTGATGAGGATGTTTTTTTAAAATCACTCATCATTCTGTTTTTGAAAATATTTCTTTTCTTACCCTATTTTCGAAAAACGTGTATTCCTATTTAGTTTGGTCCATGATATGGGTCCAATAATGGTGTAGTTGGATGGGGCTTGAAAATACCTTTCCAACGATATATTATAAGCCCAATTCCGATAAATAATGAGGAGGTTATGGCCAAAATACTAAACTGGACCCAAACCGGATTTTACCTACGACCCAATGATCATGTGGAGAGTTCAGAGGTCTAATCCTATTCCTAAACTAATTAGGATTAATTAAAAGCTTCTATAATTTTCAAAAAGATCTTAGTTATCCTTTTTGAAAAGATAAGATTAAAGAATTTGAGTTAAATAAACACTTTCCTTTTTCTTAAATCCTAATTCTATTCGAATTTAAAGATGTTCAAAGGCAGTCAGATTTAATTTTTGTGCCTCATAATCTTTATCTAACACTACTACAAAAGGAGCTATTTTTCGACGCTATTGCTTCGACGCTACGGCTAGGGCGTCAACTTTAAATTATGATATCCGTGTTTCCTCGACGCTTTTTAATGTCTAAAGTAATTTTAGACTATTTTTAGCGTCGAGAACACGAACATCTGCCCCGCACGTGAACTGAATCAGGTAAACCCACGGATTAAAATACCACCCAATGTCACAAACCCGGAAACCCCCAACTGCCTCATATTCTCTTAACCCTAACTAATTTTTTTTCCTTCATTCGATCTGAATTCTACACAAATTCATGGTGTCATGGCTTAGATTTCGAATTCAAATCTCATTTCCCCTTGTGTTTCTCATTATTCTATCACAATAATTGATATATTTTGCTGAAAATAATTGTCTTCCTCTATGGTTTGCGTTGAAAATTGATATGCGATAGCTATTGTTCGTGTTCTCCTCAAAGGTTACATTTTTATATCACTCTTTGTTGATTTTTAACTTCTAATAGTACTTCTTTCAATTTCTATCTTGTTGAACCACTTTCTTCAACTAAAACTCTTATTGGATTTCAAAACTAAAGATCTTTTTTATTACGGTATTAAAAGCTTGACATTGAAATTTCTTGTTTATTAGAGAAAAAATAAAAAAAAACATCAAATTACTCTTATTGGAGCAGAGTCGAATGGTTAATAGGGTTAGAGATTATATCGTGGAGCTAAAGAAACTCCTGGAAAGAAGAGCTTGTATCGAACTAATTAATGGTGAGATATTGATTGCTTTATTGTTTTCACTGGTTTTGAATGATTTTGATGATAATGTTACGAAGTTGTTGGCAGGGCATTGCAGTTGGATGCTAATTAAGCACAGCTGATCTTGACGAACTATTTTGGTCCTCAGTATGAAATAGAGTATACTGGTCTTCAGTATGAAATAGAGACACGAACTACGGTAAATTTACTCAAAACATGAGAATTATTAATCCATTATAGCTAGGAAAGTAATGAGATAATTATAAGTTCAAAATTGCACAATTAAGTTGTGTGCTATACTTGCTATGAGCTTTTGTTTTGCTTACTGTTGTTTTTCAAATATTTGATTTTTTTTTATCAAGTTATTAATTATCCTTGTTGTTGAGTGGTATGGCGATATTTTTTTGTCCATGTTTCTCTTGATTTATTCTACTTCTTATGCCTAGAGTTGAAATATTTAAAATAGACTCTAAAATGGTTGTATTGTTGTAAAAGTTTGATTACATTTGGACCTTTTTGAAACCTTGTTTGTGATAGAGACTTACTAGTTCTTATAATTAAAAATTTATGAATTCAAATGAATTTAGTTTTTATTACCATACTGGTTATGTGAATACTTCTAGTTTAGCTCCCAAGATGAGGTTAGTCAGTTAAAATGTCTCAATTTAAAAGTGACACTTAGCCTTACCTTTGCAATTGCAGTGAGACTATTTCAACTCTACACATTCTGTTTATTTCTGGCTGTGTAGGTGTTTTATATTTTGTTGCTGGTATATTACCATGGTTTGGAGTTTTTTTTATATGTCGCAGCTATGTATTGCTGATGATGTTATTTTACCACTGTCTTGTAGTTGCAGTAATTTTCATCCCAAAAATTATAGACCTACAGTCGTTTTTAGCCCCTAGTCCCTTCATGAAAGTTATAGATCTAAAAAAGTCATCCAATTTAGGCTCAAGAATCTCTCAATTTGGAATTGTGTGCTAGGAGTTATGCCTTCTGGAAATTTCTGTGGTCTTCTGGCTTGATTCTATCGCTGCGGGGCTGTTATATTTACTTGATGCCTCTGTGTGTGGGTTTTTTTCCTGTAGTTGGGTGGGCTTGCTAAAATGAATACATTGGCTTCTCTTATTTGTTTTATCTGATTTTCCTCTAATTAATTATATATTAGTTTAAAGAAGTACGGTTGTGTTCTTGCATTGTAAGCAAATGCTTGATTTTGGTGCTTTACTGAATATGAAGTGAATGGCTTTAACAGGGGAAGGATTCGTTACATTTTTGTAATTTTTTCAGCTAGAGGTGTATGCTTACTTGGGTTCTTCACAAGTTTATCAATCCCACCAATGTATTATTAGAAAAAATTGCAGGTTGATTTCTATTTTCTGATTATCAACTTATGTATCTAAACATAATAATATACACTCATATATATGTAAGCTCTCTATAGCTTCTACAGTTTCACAAGTAAACTAGTTCTCTATTGAACACACACCAAAGTTATTAACTTACTATCTTTAAAGCTCTGATTTTGTCATTGTAGTATATAATGTATAATTATTGTTGTTTGGTTAGGGAATGTGATCAACTAACTATAATTATTGTTGTTCTGTTGGTCCATGATGATGTTGTTGTCTGTCGTCTTCCCAGGCCACACTAAATCATTCAGTTCCTACCAAAGGATCCACAAACATCAAAGGGTGTGCTGTGAATTCAAGGCCAACAATGATTCGAAACAATATGAACTTTGATTTACGCCCCTTGCAAGCAGATTAAGGAGCAGCTAATTATGAAGAAATGAGCAGATTTGTTCCACTATGTACTAGTCATGAATGACGTATAGGTTGGAATTATATTTCTTGTACTACCTAATAGAAAACTCATTACAATGAAATATTGTACATGTACTATAACATATTTATATGCAATAAAAAAATTGGCTTAATTTTGCTCTGTATATATTGGTAATACTAGTATACTACGGAGTAGTAAATTTTTAGTGTGAAATAATTTTTTAGGTAATTATATTCTAGATAATTTTGTAAAGAATCTGGACCAAAAAAAAGTCCCAAACAATGAGAATATAGACAGCAATAAGCATCGCCAAAATATTAAATACCTAATATACGAGACTCTGGACACAATAAAGCGTCGCCAAATTTAAGGTTTTAGACACAAAAAAGCGTCGAAAAACTTGAGAAAGTGCGCCAAAATTGCAAATTTCGACGCTTCGTATAAAAATTTGGACGTCTTATAGCGTCGAGATTTGCGACGTTTTTCTGTGACGTCTAATTTTCTCGACTCACATATTTTCGACGCTTATTTAAGCGTCGAAAAATAGCTTGAAAAGCGTCTAAAACTGACGGATTTTCTAGTAGTGCAAATCTTATATGGTTGGATAGATCTTGAAATTATCTTTCCAATGATATATTATAATATTAAATGCGAGTTATAACGAAAAAAATATGAATGAGATATGAAACTCTATCCAAAACTGACACCGTCCTACTATTTCGGCCATATAATTTTATCTACAAAAGATTTTAATCTGATTCTAATTGGGTTGAAACGTAGATTTCAAGATCTTTTCAACGACATATTATATGCCTTATTTGGAATTCTAGATCAAAAGATATGATAAAAACAAAATCCGCAAAAACTGTTGTCCATCGAGTTCTATTTCGATTCGAATTCGGATTCTCTTCTTATTCTTCGACCCTCTTTTTTCTCTATAAATAGAGGCCATATCTCCTCTTTTTTAATCACCAACTCTCATCAAGAAATTCTTGATTACTCTCTCTCTATCTCTTTCTAAACCAACCCTTTTGCATATAAAATTCCGCATTCACAAGATCAAGAAACACCTAGCCAAGTTCGAAGTTGTCTTCGCCCTAGACGTGAAAGGTTTTAATTTCTGAGCGTTTGGTCCCAAATCTCTCTTTCAATTATTTAATTTAATTGTTTGATTTATTATTTTCCTTGAAGTTACTAACGCGAGTATTTTGTTATTAGAAAGAGGTACGAGACATCCAAATAAGTGCTTTCATTGATTTTATTGATGTTATGATATAGAAATCATGCTTAGATTATTATTTTGATTCCTAGTATCATGTTTAGGATGTTCCTAGTATCATGTGAGGATGCTTTCTCTAGTATGATATTTAGGGTGATTTGCTTATATCAATTATGATTTCTATGATTGTAATACCCGAATATTTTATGATTTTATATAATATATCTTATAAATATAAAGTTTATTTTTATTTATTATATAACTTTTCTGGTATCATGTTTTTATTTAGAGTTCGTAAAGTTTTAAAACCCTATCTTGTTTAAATAGCACTGTACAATTCAAAACGTATATAAACTATTTTAAACCCTAAAAATATTCTTAACTCTCAAAAGATATTTTATTTAAAAAAAAAAAAGGAAAGTCGCAGCCGTTTTCTAATTGCCTTGAGATATGCTAATTAATCCCAAATTTGTTTCTTCTTATAAACTATTATTTCATTCTCTAATATCCATTATCTTGACTATGGATTTAAATGATGATGACTTATATTGTGACATCAATATAGAAGCTGCTGCAAATTGCAATTGATCTAACCTTGCCTTGAATATTGTTGTTTCATTGTGCTATGTCGAAGGTAATCGCACGATATCAATTTGGTGATGTTTGATTAATTTGATTGTATTATTTATTATGTGTAATCACACAAACTTCATGTTTAATTATTATTTATTATATGCAATCACACTAAATTTTAGAGATGTTTGTATTATATTTCGTATTATTATTATGTGTGATTAATTATTATGGTACGCTTTGTATATATGATTAATTATTATGGTATTATATGATTTGATTAGATTTGAATATCTTATTATTTATTTTTGTTGTATATATTGATTGTACAATTATTGCTAGGGTTTTAATGTTGTTGTTATAGGAAGTATTGTATTATCAAGGTTTTAGGGTTATTAATGCAGAGTGTTATTTTTGGGTTGAGATTTGATTATATTTAGGTTATTAGTATTTTTTTTTAAGAGTTGAGATACTATGAATCGAATTGTCATGTTATTTGGGAACTCGTGCCATTATTGAGATACTATTTATTATCAAGTTTATGATTATTTGATCAAGTATGAGATCAAAAGGTTGAGAATTATTATTTTGTTCTTGGTTTGAGGCTCGGCGTTATATAACTTAGTCCTTGGCTTGTTGGTAATGAGATAATGATCATGAGTTAAGAATGAGTTACAATCTTTATTTATAATTATTTTTCTATGGTACCCTACAGTGGGAATTGACCCGTATGTGGTCTGGTTCAAGGTGTTTTCTAGTTATTGGGAGTATTCAAGTTTTTATACTTGTTGGTTTTATTCGAATTACCCATGTCCAAGGCTAGGTATAAAACAACGAACATGGCACACTTATGGGTTATATGAGTTGATTGAGTAAAGGTTCGTATTATTATTCGAGGTTGAGTTGACAAAGTTATTTTCAGAGTACAATGTGTAATGTAGTTTTGAACTACATTGTTTAATTGATCTAGTAATGTTAATTATTATATTATACTCTATATTCTGATATGGGGTGATTACTCAGCTTTTGCTGACGTGTGTGTTGTTTTGATGTGCTACTTGTGTTTCCGGCCATGTCTTTTTCTTATGGTGGCCCGGCGACGATCTATTTTGGAATTTGTCCTTAATGGTGAGCAATCAAGATTGTTTAAGCAGGTTAAATCAAGTGATCGTAGCTAAAGGAGCTCAATTGATCGATTAGTATGCTATAACGAGTTTGTAAAGTTGTAAATAGCTCACCTATATTTATTGGGTTATAATTATTGGGATTTTTGTAAGCCTTAACACTTGACAAGTTGTCGAGTGTGGAGGTAATACCTCTAATTTAGGTGTATGCTTCCGCAATTTTATTTAAAGGTTGTTTATATTCCCTTTATTTATTATTTATTAATAGCTAGTAAATCGGGGGTGTTACAATGATGCTTCCTATTTTATTTCCTAATAGCATGTTAGTATCATGTTAGGGCTATATATTGATTCTTGATGTTTAGTGACATGCTAGAGTTTGTTATTAAACCTGTTAGTATCATGCCTAGGATCTTGCTATTAATAATATGCTTTAACATGATTATTATAATTATGATTATGATAATGATTATGATTATAATTATGATTACGATTATTGTTGTGTTGAATTATATAATTTAACGTAATTTGTTAATTAGCGAATTGTTTCATTTAATTTGTTAATTTACGAATTATTTAATGTTATTTGTTAATTGACGGATAACTTCTATATAATTAATTATTATGTTGTTTGATATATATTTATTGTTATAGCTTGATCACACCTTTAATGCATGTTTAAAGGAATTGGTACTTGTAATCATGCTTAATAAGATAATTAATAATCTTGTTAGGGTTAATATGTTTATAATTCAAGTGATCGCCAATAATAGATTTATTTGTGCATTATATTCAACCAACATAGATTAAACAGGTTTAGGGTTAATCCTATTGATTGCATGTTAGTCAGAAAGCGCACATGAATACGATAAGAATAAAGTAGAGGCCTATTATTAGGGCAGGTTCAATCTCTTTTAGGTTGGATTTATACCTTCATCCCCGAACTTCCAGTCTTGGTTCCAGACCTATTGGAGTTAACGATCTCCTGGATCGTTAAGGGGTGTAACCTTCACCCTGTGAACGGTTTACAAGTTCCTAAAACTTGTTGGCGACTCTTTTGCTCTATCTTCTTTCCCTTTTGACGCCACCATGCTTAAGTGTATTATCACAGTGGGGTTCAAGTTTGGATTAATGCTTGAAATATTCCTTACACATTCCATTAAGGAAATCTTCTTTCTAGTGGAGTGGGTGGTGTTAGCCCTATTGGTGCAAGTAAGCTTTTTAATTTAATTTTTATAACAATTTTTTATAGCTTATAGGAAATGGAGTAAATTTTCTTTCTTTTGTCCATCTTTTTCTAGGATCATCATATTGATTTGTGTAATTGTATTGCGTGGTAGTCACTAATACGTCAATAAAGGATGATGCATTATCATTCCCCTTCTTGTAGTTATTCTTAGGTTGATGATGATGATGGGGTTTGTTTGCTTTTTCTTTAATTAGCAAGATCATCTTCAATCCTAGTAGCCACAGAATAAACCTTTTGAAAAGTGTCTAAACCAAGGTAGCGTAGTTGTTTGATGTACTTTTCATGACAGTTATAAATGAACTTTTGCACTAACTTTATTTCAGGCGGCCTTTGGGCAAGGTGGGCCGCCTTTTCCCGCCATCTACCATAAAAAGAAAGGAATCCTTCATCGTCGCCTTGCTTAAGCATTTCGAGTTCACGTAAAGTTGACTTAAACTCTACGTTACTCTCATATTGGGTAATGAAAGCCAAAACTACATCTTCCCATGTTGCCTTGAATTTTTGATCTAGCCCATAGTACCACTCTCTCGCGGTTAGGTCTAGAGATAAAGGGAAAGTCAAAGCATAAAGCTTAGGATCAACTCCCTTTAATGACATAGTGCCAGTAAAACACATTAAATGATTTTGTGGATTATTTGTCACCTTAAATATTGGCAAGTCCGTAGCTACGAACTTTTCCGGTAAAGCAAGTCATGGGGGAGGAGCAAACTTTTCTACATCAAAGTACTTGTTCCCCATTGTAGAACAAAGAACTAGCTTCTCTAACGACTTTTCTTTGATGGATAATTGTTCCAACTTTTTCTTGCAAGGCTAAGGTTTCAGCATTTTTCTTTTCGGCCTTTTCGATTTTCTTAATTCTTCTCTCCTCGGCCTCTTGAGCCTTTTCCTCTCTGAAACGAAGAATCTCTTGTTGAAGTTCCTCGATGGTTGGCATTGTTGTTGGACTAGGATTAGTTGTCGAAGAAAAGTGGTTTGAAAGGGGTTGATCTTTGGGTGGT